TGCACTAACCTCCGTCTCGGCTCATTCGAATTGACTTTAAATGATTGCCCTTTTTTGTCCAACAATGATGGATTGCAAATGATTGCGTTTACGCCAACCTCACTGTCCTACAAACTGTATGGGATTATGCTCTATTTGAATTAAATTAAATGTACCTACACATAAAGCTGTACAAAAAATAAGACTAAACAGAGGGGCATGACATAGATAAAATGTCATTAACTGTTTATTTTTTTAATTAATAGATGACAACGGCTATTAAAATAAAATATAAAACTTATTAGCACCATAAAGCTAATATCTCCAGAGATAAATTTTATTCTTAAAATAAGTTAAGAATAAAAACATAAGTTCATAAACTAAAACTGGACTACAACTAAGTCACGCTGAAATAACTAAACAATAATTCTTGTTTCCAACTTTTTAGAGCGTGATTTTTACATTTACAAACGTTTCAGGTCCTTTACAGGTTACATTCAGTCTAGTGAATACAAAACCTGTAAAGAATATGAATGGTAATATTTTTACAACACTACACACGATAAAGTCGTTTAATTTAATCCAAATATTTTTATTTTTTATTAACATTATAAACCTTAACAGTAGCTCTATTATTTTACGATATCTAGGTAAAGCTACTTTCACTTCAGTTCGATATACCGTCCCCAGAGCATGACTAATTGCGTAACTAAACACGGTGGGGCGCGTAATCCGATATAGATGTGTTACTAAAAACTATCAAATTAGTCGCCCCGACTATAGTTTGTCTATTCTAATAGAACAAGTTGATTTAAGAGATAGTGTTGGGTTTACTTGTGTAATTACAGTATACTTACCGAAGGGTTATCTTGGATGTCAATGTAGAATGAATGAAAACAGGAAAACATCAAGGATTTTAAATTGTAAAAGTTCTCATAGGCTCTCCTGTAATTTAACATTTTTGTTCTATTCTAAATCAATATCTCTCACGAACAGTGACGCGATTTGGGCCATTTTAGGATTATGACCTGCTATTGGTCATTTTAAAAGTGACGAGGAAGTGGACTTTGACCAAAGCTGTCAAAGGTATGTGTATAATGAATGTCAACTTGTGACAAGTTCGATGCTTAGGCAAATTAATAAAAGGCTGACTAAGCTTGAGAACTTGATTTAATAAAGGGTAAACAAAAAATAAATATAAACAGTTCGTATAGTTACCTAAATAATAATATTAATAGTTAAATAGAACAATTGCATACCCTTTTCTTTCGGGTTTGGTGAGTCATCATCATCATCATCACCAGCCCTTTTACGTCCCCACTGCAGGGGCTCAGGCCTTCCCTATGGATGGTTAAGGAGGATGGGCCATGACCCTCCACGCTGGCCAAATACAAATTGGAGGGTATTAACGACTGCATATGCAGCCGGGACCAACGGCTTAACGTGCCTTCCGAAGCACGGAGTAGCTCGAAATAATAATTTTTTGGTCACCCATCCCGTGACCGACCCTTGCGAAAGTTGCTTAACGACTATGATCGCGGGCCGCGACGCTTATCCACTACGCCACCGAGCTACTAAGTTTGGTGTTGTTTGGTGAGTAATTTAACTTTATTATATTAGATTTGATATAGTATACATTTTTCTTGAGTTCAAACTCATGAGCATAACGGAAACAAGTAATAATAAATAGATTTTAACACTTTTTTTTTACAACAAATTGCTATTAATGGAAATTAAGTATGTATAATGTTTTTAACTCGACGAATTTTCACGAACTGACATTCATACAGGGCATATTAGACCTCTCAAAATTTCAAATTAAGAAAATAAAAATGAATAATAAAAATAAATTATGTTGAAGATTAAAGACAAAAAGTTTGCATGCGGAAACCTAGGATGAAATAAACTGTGGTACAACGCACAGTTACAAAATGATGTTATTGTCCGTGCGAATTTTTTAAAATCCGTTCAGTAGTTCCAGAGTCTGTTCGTTACAAACAAACAATCAAACATTTCCTCTTCTTAATATTAATATAGAAAAGTTATTTTAAATATTATACTTGTCGATCGATGATCAAAAGTTATTATTAGATACTGCACCTGCACAATAGCAACAAAAGTGTATATATTATAAATTGACGTTGTCATGTGTGAAATAATACTGGAGACAGACAGGGGCCAGAGAGGTGAATAATCCCTAATTTTGTATACAGGGCCCATTGCCATCACGTCACGCTTTCGCATGATTTCCAGTGATACGCTGTTAGTGTTGGGATGATTCTTTATATAAAAAATCAATATTATCGACTGATAAAATGACTAGGATTTTTATAATAGTGTATTAATTTATCAATATTTGTTGACCATAAAACTAGTCAAAGTATTTTGTCCTTTGTCAAAATAGAGCGTAAACAGCATTTAAATATTACTTCTACTTTTGATAAAGTCTACATATTTTTTGCCAGTGTAGTTATGCATCCTCTGTTATTCTTATTATCGACCATCTCTCTTTTCCTCTCTAATTAACTGATTATAATCTAAAATGTGTATATACGCCAAATTAAAATAAAATAAAAAATATTGTGTTATACGTTCTATAAATTCCTTCTTCTACAAAGTGCTATTTTAGGAAGTATGCACTAATAATACTGTTATCATAAAGGAAATATAATATATAAATAACAATAAACCTATATATTTGATACATTTCTCGTTCGCACTGCAATATTTTCTTTGAAAAAAATCCGTTAAATATCCGATAGACTCATGTAATTATTTGAAATATTTTTATTTAAAATAAATAAAAATAACCTTGTGGTACTTCCTATGCTTAAAATTTGCATAACACAAGGGATTTACTCACTTAAAGGTTCATTTTCTACATTGCCCCGGCCGGGAATCGAGATGGTGACCCCATAGATGATAACACCTTAAAACCGGTATGTGAACCACTCGTCTAAGGAGGTCGTCAAACTAAAAATATTAAATTTTCTTTTGAATGTTTCATCGATACACCGAACATCACTAGGCAATATAAATAAACTCATCGTATGACCATCGAATATTGACATTATCCAGCACGTGCACTTTTTGTCGTCGACGCAATGCAATTTTTATTTATTCAACCGATCGAGACAATTACTATTCGATACAAATATAATTTTAAATACCAATCTGAGTTCGATATTTTTTGCGATCTGGGGGACAATTCTACTAAATAAATTTTGTTTAAATCGAACATATACGTACTAAGTGTCATACGATATAATTCCAGCTAAAATAGAACTGGAATTGTATCGTATGTCACTTTGTAGAATAGGAAACCCATTAAAAACTGTAGTTTCGTTCGGTTTCGATCCGTTTTCGATTCGATTTAAACAAAATTTATTTAGTAGAATTAGCCCCCTGTTTTTTTATATTAACGCTCAGTAAATACTTTTATCAAAATATCATTGTTTACTATGTGTACTTCAGTAATCACAAAATGTTAAATTTCTGTAACCAGGTTTTAACTAATTATGGTTTAAAATAAAATGAACCCCTACATTTTTGTTCATAATTAAAATATGTCATGAAAAATTATTATGCAAATAATAATTAAATTACTTAATTAATAAAAAAAAACGATTTTATTATTAACTAGCTTTCGCCAGCGGCTTCGCCCGCGTGGACCCTAGGGAAATGTTTAGTGGGATAAAAAGTATCCTTTTATCTAAGTCAGCTAACATCCTATCTGTATACCAAATTTCATCAAAATCCGTTCAATAGTTTCGGCGTGATTGACGTACAAACATCCAAACATCTAAACATCCAAGCAAAGAAACTTTCACATTTATAATATTAATAGGATACCTCTAATACAGAAAAGAACTTAATATTTTCACAAATATATAGATTATTTAACCAACGAAAAATGTTCCGTGTACTTAGTATTCATTACGAGTTATCGTTGAAAATGTCTGAAAAAAATAATGCCGAGATGTAAATAGCCGTATGAAGGGTCTGAGTTATACCTATATTTAATTACCTGTTTACCTCGACATCGCATGCCTTAATTATAGCATGTTATTCGTATTTTTAATTATTTTAATTAATGAATTATTGAATCAATATTTTCGAAGAATACCCCCTAAAAAAATTAACAAAGTCAGAAACTTTATCTCTCTATAATATTAGATTAGAATAGCGTCTTTGCCCGAGTTAAATATAGCCTATTGCAAACAAAAATCTAATCAAATCTATCCTATTTGTATTATCAGTATAGACTGTAGATATCACTATAACAATAGAAGAAAGTAATAGTCGTATGAAGGGTATCTTTTTATCGCTCCACCCAATTTCATTTCAAACAAAGTAAGTCTTATTTAGAGAATCTGAATAAAGCATCACATTCACAAATTCAATCTCAATCGTGGCTGAGCCAATACGCGATCGCGATAAAGCGTAAAATGCTTATTTATTTGGCCTTAGTAAATCCCTTAGTCCTATATGGGTTGGAGCCACATATCTTCATAAAAACTGAACTGTCGCCGGAATGACTCGCTTGCTGGAGGACATCGCGTCGTCACTGAAATGAAAAACGAAAAGTCGACCGAGTTTTATTACCTATCAGAGGCAATTTAAAATAGGATTTATTTGCCAATATAAAACTGAATGCCGGTTGAGATTCCAATGATTGTTTTACAGTGTAGTTTATGAATATTATTAATGATTTAAAATAGATTTAAGGGAATATTATACTCGTATGTACTCCTACCTATCTATTGGTATACCAAAGGTCTATAGATTATGATTAATTCGCCCTTTAATTAATTTTGCAACGGTTTCCAGCAGTAATTATAAAGATTTAAGTTCCAAAATGAGGTGATATATCAAACCTCTTATCGACATAACTCACTAGTTTCTCGATCTACATTTGACTCGAGTCCCACCCATGCTTCTGAAAGTGGGTACTCAGGTACTGAAAATTCTTCTACAACCCAACGAATAATTCTACTACTAATGCATATAAAATAACTCACGCTTCAGTTTCTCCAATGGCTCGTGGTGCAATGGTGGGGCGTGGTGCAGCGGCGTGTGTTGCGGCTCATGATGTAGCGGTGCCATTAGACTGGAGATGGCTGAGCCGACAGACGCCGCCACCGAGTCGTGCAGGTGCCCCCCGTGAAGCTCGAGCTCTGAGAGGCAGAGCCCGTTCTCGCTGAGCGGCTCCATGCCGGCCGCGAGAGCCTCTTTGTACACGCGTAGGTGAATGGTGGCGGCTTGCTGGTCACAAGTGGTGGAGTCGCGTGGCGACCTTTGATGTTCACGCGCGGGACATTCCCCGCTCTGAAGACAAATAGGGACCATTGATTACTATATTAAAATGAAATACTGTAAACGCTAAAATAAACTAATTGGAGGGATTTATTTGTTTTTGCTTTATGAATTGTTACTATTTCATGTAAAATATTGTCTCGGTATAGCTTGATGCTATAAAATGTTAATATACCAAACATTATTCAATTATAGATTCGCGGGAAAAGAATTATATCTACTCAATAAGAAACTTCAAGTTTCTTTACATTTTCAAAACCCTATATACAATAAATGGATACTCTTTCATAAATATATTTGAAAAATGAGTTTGACGATTAGATAGATAGAATTTCTTTCCTATTACTAATGAATTGAACTACAAAAACCTTCATTACATGTATTTAAAAAATATTTTTATGGATTGTACAGAAATTATGTAAAATATTATGACTGTAAATTATATTTTATATACTTTAAAGAAAAAATAACAACTGTTTATAAGAAGAAAAGTCTTGAATTGAAATAAAGAAAGAAGATTAAAGAAATTCCTAACTACAAAATAAACGTGTTAGTATCAACCATAATTTAAGGAGAGCGCACACGGACAATGTTTGATATGATAAAAAACAAACGCCATAAAAATGGTGTCATCGAGATATACAACTTTACAACTTTCATAATTCAAACAGCCGTGTCAGCTGGTCGCCATATAGAACTGTGTGCGAGTAAAACACTGTAAATGACTAATATAAGTATTTAATATTATTAATATTAATAACATAATTAAAAAAAAAACCTTTAATAAAGTGTATACAATTTTTTCAATTGTATATTTTTTTTTTATGATGTAAATCGTAAAAAAAGACCGACGCTGATTTTCGGCTAGACCCCATTTAAATCTATCAAGTGGATGCAAGGACGAAAAATTCAAAAAACTCGGATGCCTTTACGAATTCTCTCTAATGAAAGAGAGTCTAAAATTATACAAAATAAAATTTGCACCAGAATTTTTTTCTCACCGGATGCTTATGAAGTTCTTACGATGATTAGGTTTACTAGTAAAGAATTCTTTTTAATTAAGCCCTAATGTTATTAATCCTATCTCATAACCTAATAATAGTGTCTTAATATATATGTTATATTAAAATGTAATAAAATCTATATTAAGAAACTATAATTTTTATCGGTAACAATTAGAAAAAGTTATAAAATATAATAATTGTTGCTATGTTTTAACTATAAACAGTCAATAATTCAATTCGGGCATAAAACTGTAATGGGCTAGAAGAAAAAGCAGGAACAGAGAGACACAAAGTGATTTATAGGTTTAATTGCCTTTTTACGGCGGCCACCTAGCGGCTGAAATTCAATATTCAACAAAAAGAGAATGGTTCGCGTCGAAGCGAGAACATACCCGGTATTAACAGCTATACTTGATAATGGATGCATATCTACTACCATTTTTTAACTAATAAGATTTATTAATTCTCATTCATTGTATCTTAATAGACAATAATCTTGTGAATGACTAAGAAATAACAAATTACATTTTAGTTATAATATACCAAATGTTTGAATTGTAAATATAAGATTTTAAGTTGTGCTATGTATGCCGCAGTGTTCATACGTCATATTATACAGATAAAGTTTATTCTATTTGTTTATATGTATGTATTGATCTATACTAATATTATAAAGAAGTAAAGTTACTTTTTTCTGGTTATCTTCAGAAACACTGATTCGATTATGAAAATTCGTAAAATAGAACATAATTAACACGGACGAAATTGCGGAAAAACAACCAATATAACATAAATTAATAATTTTAAAAAAATCTGTGCGGCCCGGACGGATTTCAATTCAAATAAAGCAGTTTTTACTGTAAATATTAAAAAGGCTTATAACAAAATAAGTTTTCATGTTAATTATATAAATGAGTAAATCTAAGATTTACAATTCAAATAGTCGTGCCCATCGGTCAGTAGGTAAAACAGTTACGTTTTTATGTCCTAATGTAAATAAAAACATAGAATAATAACAACGAACTATTTTTGATAAAATAAATACAACTTCAAACTTCAAAACAATATTACTTGAAAATATTAGTTCTTTATAATATTAACATCTTGTCCGTTGAGGCAAATAATGGTTCGAAATAATGTATTATAAATTAATTTCTCTTGATTTTATTTATAAATATCAATTTTAATTAATTAATTCTTTGGCTTTGATCAAATTTTATTTTATTTATTATGAATATACCTACTATCACGTATATTTTACTCATAACTATAGATTACCTGTTTGTTGATTATTATACAAATAAAAGGTTAATTATGTGTATATATTATTAAGAATTATGGTCGTGTGTCATGTTTTTATACATTTATATATATGTCTTTTTGTTAAATAAATGTCTGTAATTTTATGTGACAATAAATAAACACAAAACTTCTAACTTTACTCTTAGAGCTATGAGAATAATCAGTCCTCAAAGTTTGGTTCAACAAAATAACTTTCAATCAAAAGTGTCACGACCATCCAGGAAAAAAACCATCTTAAATCCTAAACAAAGTGAACAAACATCGCAGATAATATGACCAATCAGCTTCTCGCATAAGAGATATTAATCTTAACTCAGTGGTGAGTAATTGGGCAAAGCTGAAGGCAGCGATTGAGCGCTTGAGCCTCTGTTATCCCTTTAAACCGATGTAAAGCCTTTTTTAAGCCGAAAGATTTAAGTTGGCGAAAGTGGCTCGCTCTATTAAAACAGCATCGGCATCTCGTTCGAATTTTACTTTCCTGAATCGGCGGCGGTGGCTGCCTACCAAGTTTTATCCATTTGCGAATACCGGATTGCGTCGTGAAAATTTGTGACTTCTAAACGTTTTATGCGATTCCTATACACCCTCCGTTGTATACGAATGGGTCTTAATAAACGCACGCTATTGGATAAGGATACATTGCACTTTTATAACTTTAATATCGAAATTTCGGAAGTGTATGAGGTGTTAATTTTGTCCATAGATTTGTGTCATTGACAGCAAACACAATGGACTGTATAAAATTTGAATAATAAGGTAATTTAGCAAAGAAAACTATTTATTTATGAATAACGTATAAAAGCACAAGATACAATAACAAACGTTAAAAAAATATAAATTAAAAATAAATATAAAAGCCTTCTTAAAGAGGCCAGTAGGTACTAATATCTCAAAAACATGGTAAGGCTGTCGGTCATAATTAGGTGTACTTCTTCGTCGAAGAAGTATAATTCGACACACGTTAGTAAAATAATTTTAAACTCGTTGACTAATAAAAACAATTATTATATTGATAAATTTTGCATTCACTATGCTATTAAGAATAAATTTCATTAAGAATAAATAAGAACAAGTTAAACACCGTAAAAGCAAGCAAACTAATAGTAAATGAAACTTATAGTGTTATGTTGGTCAATTAAATGGATTCAATATATGTGATTTATTTAGTACTAGTTTCAGAATTTAATTGACTTATTATTATGCAAATTTTTTAACACAAACTTTTAAAATGAAGATCTAATTATATCACAATTATAATAGTTTTAGAAACAACTACTGTTTTCCCTCGACTTCATCCAAGTAAATTCCTATGTCACACGCAAATAGCCTATGTCACACATGAATTTTGTGAAATACTCGGATCAGTATTTCCGAAGATAATGCCTTACAAACAAACAAACAAAGCTAGAAACATTATCTCTTTATAATATTAGTATGGATTAAATCAATAAACAAAATATTTTGATCCACATGATTCTTTATGTGATTAAATATGGAGTGAGTAAAAATATCAAAATTACTTTCCGTTTCATAAAAAGACACGTTTGTATATAATATACGAGATAATCTATATAAAATAAACATATCATTGTTTCAGTTTTATAGACATTTCATTTATATTTCTATAGAAGATTTTAATAAACGCTATGAGACACTCGAAAACTTCCTTGTCATTGATATATATTTTAAGACGGTATCTTATCGTCGAATGACATTGGTATGAAATACAAAAATACGTTCACATAACCAATACTCGTATTCTTTTTTTTTCTTAAACTAACTATTATTTGTACCGTGTAAACATTTCCTTTCAACTTTTGCAAATACCTACCATATATTTCATAGCAGCAGAACGTTGGATTAAACAATAATAATAATAATAATATAATCTTTATTGCACACATACAGACAGGAAAACAAAATAAAATTACACGGTAAACAATACAGACATTGAGAGAAACAAATTGAGTAACATCTTCTATATATTTTAAATCTTAATCTGTTGACAGGTAAGTTCAATATAATTGTTTCTATAAAATCTTACCTTTTGCCAGTAAAGCCTACGATTAACTAATTAGTAATGGTAAAAGCCCGAACTGTTCAATTATCGTTGTTCATTTCAAGCTTTTGCCATCGTGCATTAGGTAAATATTAGGTTACAATACCTCAGGGACACGGTAAATGTTTTTAGATAAGTCCAAACATACATCCAGTGCCATGGAGCCATTTTACCACAACAGCTCTCGAAGTGAAATTCAAAAGTCAAAATTCTCTTTATTCAAATAAGTTGCATCAAAACTATAGACAATAGAGTTGCTTTTATAAAGTAAATTTTTTTCAATGTTCAGGATTTCTTTTTAACTATGAAAAAAACTTCACAAAATTTAATAAAAAATGATAACATTTACAATAAACTATGTTATTACAATGTCTAATATGTAAAACCATATAAACAACCTATCAAAGAATAAAGGAAATAAAAATAAATATTTAGCGTCCTGCGATTCTATTTTATAAATATTAATTATACCATACCACAGATACGTAAGACTTCCGAAACCACAGATACGTTACACATACGAATAAAAAAATAAGTTAAATTGAATACCAATTGCAGATTCTTGATTTTTTTCAGTAAGAAAAACGTGAAAGAAGCACAAACAAACTCACTTTCCATTATTATATCATTATAGACTTCGAAACCAC